TTGGTTGCCTTACTGTAAACAGAGCAAGTCGTGTCCATGGGCTTTTAAGCATGCTTTCGCAGAGCTGTTGTAACTTCGTGGCTTCCCCTTCTAGTCGTGTCGGCGGTTCAGCTTCTGCCCCCATCATCTGCCGAGGACATGCTGCTGTTGTGCTCATCGGGTGACCTTGCTTGGGTCTACATATGACACAGATGTGTACACAGTGTTCCTGCTCCCTCAGTTCTTGGTTCACGCCGCCACTCAGCTGTGCTCACTGGTGTGTGTTCTGAGCTTGCCTTGCTCCTCCCTGCCCTTGGGGACGGTCTGCAAGTCCTGTGGACCCAGATTCCTTGATATCCCAGCTCAGTCCTCACATCCCTCCTTCCTAGGGGTGGTTACATGCATGTGCCTGTGATGCTTCTATGGATTCTCTCTTACCCCCTGAAGTTCGGGTGGCATCTGCTTTTCTCCCCATCATCGTCCCATCGCCTGCCTGGGGAAGGACTGTGTGAGCTGAAGGCAAGTTGCCAGAAGAATCTACACACTTGCAAATGATGTGCACGTTCTCTGTTGCCACCGGATTTGGTCCTCTTCCCTTTTTTTTTTTAAAATGTTTACAGTCGTCATCTTTGTGATGCTGGAGTGTGCTCACCTACAGTGAACACTGCTGTTGTCCGTCCAGGGTGGAGGGTGGGGATGGCGGGGCTCCGGCCCCCCCAGGAAGCCCATGTGACTGTCCTTACCAAGAGGGGTGTTAGCAAGCCCATGGGACAGCAGCTCTGAAGCCAGGCCCTCTAGTCAGCTTGTCAGCTATACAGCTGGCCAAGGAGCCAGATGCTGCCCTGTCCCTGTAAACTGCTCCAGCAGCAGCACAGGACAAAATGAAGTGTTGCCCTTCTAAAAAGTTACCCCCTGCAGGGATGTCTTTTCCATGACACATTGCTGGGTGCTGCTCATCTGAGCTCTGCCTGGGCTGAGATGGATGCTGTTTTAATGACTTTCTTAGATGCAATCTTTAATTAACTTGATTTTATTTATAAACCAAACAGGTTGGCATTTAATAACTGAAAGGAGGTAGGCAAGTGGCAACTCCTGAGTGTTGCAAAATTAAAAGCTGGCGGCTGCATAATATGAGGGAATTATTCATGGACGCCCCACTCAGTGACAGTGGTGTGTGAGGTCTGTCGACATAGCTGGCGATCTGCTGTCACTTTACAGCTGGTGAGTTGGATTGGCTTTCTTGTGATGTGTGGTTGACAGAGGCATGGAGAGAGGGGGGTGGGGGAGTAGGGCTTGGGGTTGTTTGGGCCTAAGACCACGCCGGCTTGTGGGCCCCAGGCTGAGGTGGCCCACAGTGCCCGAGGGGGCCCAGAAGTCGCAGACCCTTGTCTGATCAAGGCCTGCCTTTAATCCACATGCTTTGGGCTTATTGTCTTCTTTTCTAATAGCAATATTACACGGGTGTTTCTTCTTTGGTTATTGTCCCAGCTAAATTGTTAACCCAGGCGTGTTTGTTTCCCCTGTAAGGAATGCCACAAACTGGATGGACTCTAACAGAACTTGACTCTTGCACAGTTCTCAGGCCAGAAGTCTGAAACCAAGGCATTGGCAGGCCCGCACTTGGAAGGCCGAGGGGAGGATCCTTCCTGCCTTGTCAGCCTCCGGTGGTTGCGGCAGTCCCCGATTTTCTTTGTGGTGTTGTCGCTCCATTTTTTGCTTCCGTTGGCAAATGGTTGTCTACTGTGTATGTGTCTTCACAAGGCCACTACCTCTGTGTGCCTGTTTTCTCAGGAGGATACGAGTCATTGGATTAGGGCCCACTTGGAGTATGACCTTATCCTGACCTGATTATATCTGTAAACACCCTATTTCTACATAAGGCCATGTGCACTGGTACAGGGCCTCAGGACTTCCCAACATGTCTCTTTTATTTTTATTTTTTTGGAGTCTCATAAGAATAGGGAAAGTGGACTCTCCTGTCTGGGCATTGGCCTAATCTGACTTTAACCTGAGTACCTGCCCTTCCAGAAGTTAGGCCCCAGTATTGCTAAAGTTTGCTGTTTAAATCCCACTATGGTGTTACCTAATGAAGGGTTAGTCTTTGGAGTCTGCAAGGTTGTAATGGATCCCAAGGTACTTCTCCTGTTTCAGAAAACCCATGGCCACACCTACATTTCCCCATGGGAAGACGACAGAACCCACGGCAGCAAGTGTCTTGCTCTGAGCTAAAATGAAATCAGGAGATGCAGTCACTGGTTATCACCTGGGAACAGGACTCGGGGCCAACACAGGGAGAGGTGAGCCCCAGCCACTCTGGCTCCCACTCCTGTGGACTCTTAAGCCTCCATCCTCCACAGGCCTGGCCTGGTCGGTCACCAAAGTGGACAATGGCTTCAGGCACTGACATGCCTGGGGCAGGGTTGGGGGGTGTCTCCCTAAACAGTGGCACTCTGCAGGTTCTGGCCGTCCAGGTAGGGGAGAAGTGGCATGTCCTTGTCCCATGACTGCGGGTGGACTCAGATGGCGGAGGGGGAGCAACCCTTCTCTTTCCTCCTCCTGGTCCACCCATCCCCAGTGTAGCAGCATTCTCCCTGGGAGGCTGCCTGCCTTCCCTGCCCCAGTGCAGTCGCTTACAGTGTCCCAGGCTGCCCTGTCTGGTCTGTCTTCACTTGAATAAATCCTTTGGAATTTCCGGTCCTCTTTTGCCTCTTCCTGGAAGCCTGTTGTCAGCATCCTCCTCCCACCTGAGGGCTTTCTCAGCCTCCTGGTGCAAACCTGGACCTTAAAGGTCCGTGCTGGACTCCCTGTCTCTCTGAATTCCCTGGAGGCTTGTTGAGAAAGGAACCTGAGCCCGACGCCTGGCAGGGTGTGTGCTGCTGTAGGTTTAGGTTCCCAGGAGAGACCCTGACTGCCTTAGTTTGGGACTGTAAGAAGGTGCAGCCACTCGGATAGCTGGGTAATGAGGCTAGGTAGTTTCTTCTCTCTCTGCAACCCCTCCGATGGATTCACCCACCTCTCATCCTGTCCTTGCATCTCCTTCCTGCTGAAATCCTGCCAGAACCACCAGCCCTGTGCTGCAGAAACCCTGACCCTGGTTAAGTCCAGTGTCCCTGCTCCTCACCCTAGTGGTACGGTTAGTGTGACATGTCAACCAACAGCCATGCCTGCTTCTCTGGGTGGTGGTCCCTCCACTTGCCCCTCCTGTTATTCTCCTGCCTCCCCTCCTCATCAGTAACTCATCGCTGCCTCACCCTCATCTGGTCCAGGCATGTGCGTCCTTCCCTCCTCTTCTCGCAGACTAGCTTTCTTCTGTCTCTGGAGCACCACGCCACACTGTGCCTCCCACCCCCTGGGCCCCCGGCTGCCTCTTCCAGTTTGCAGGCTCTCTGTCCCTGGCAGCCCAGGGCACCCTCTCCAATGCAGACCCCCCCCCCCGGGTGCTCTCCTGTGTGCTGATGGCTCTCTCTTCCAGCTGCCCACCATGCATGCCTCGCTGGGACTTCAGCCCCAACCAGAGACACATACAGTGTCTGCTTGGCAGGTCCACCTTCCAGCTTCTTAGGCAAAATCCTTGGATTCATCACTGACTTGTTTCCTCTCACAAATCTGTCAGCCAATCTTATTGACTCTAAAACAACACAGAAAAAACATTTAACCTGTTACTACTCTGGTCCTACCCTTATTTTTCTCTTAGATTATTACATGATTACCCAAGTTTGCTCTTGCCTCCTTACTATGTATTTTCAGCATAGCCAAGAATGATGCTGTTAAAATATAATCCAGTTCTGCACCCTGGCTGGTGTGGCTCAGTGGACTGAATGAGGCCTGCAAAACGAAAGGTCACTGGTTCAATTCCCAGTCTAGGGCACATGCTTGGTTGCAGGCCAGGTCCCCCGTAGGGGGCTTGCTAGAGGCAACCACACATTGACGTTTCTCTCCCTCCCTCCTTGCCCCTCCCAAAAGTAAATAAAATCTTACAAAAAAAATTATAAAAAAATATTATCTAGTTTCTCCTCTGCATAAAATCCTGTCCTAGTGCCCTATTCATTTAGCATGGAGGCTAAAGTGAGAAGAGTAACCTCCTTTGCTCATGATTTAGTTTCTGTGACATCTCTGTCTTATTTTACTCAAGGCCACACTGGCCGCCTTCTGGGTATTCAGATTCACCAGGCCTGCCTCACCCCAGGGCCTTTGCACTTGCTGCTCCTTAAGCTTTGCCCATGCTTCCTGCACACCCACATAATGCCTTTCTTCATTTCCTTCCAAACCTACTCAGGTGCCATCTAATTTAGAGGCTGCCTGCTCACCCCTGTAAAACAGAAAGCCACTCCCTGCCCCAGGTGCTCCCGGACCAGTGTGCTCTGCTGTCCTGTTCTCCGCAGCACGTATCTGATCTGACATGTCTGTCCTGTCAGCTTTCACGAGAACATACGCCCCTGAGGGCAGGGACTTCTGTTTTGCTCACTGTTGGTTCCAGCAGTGCCAGCTGAAGTGGGCTCTCCAAGGAGAAGTGTGGCGTGAGGATGGGTGTGGCGGGGCTCAAACCCTGGCTCCAAAGCCAGGCCTGGCTGGGCAACGAGGGCTGGTAAGCCGCAGGAACGGGCTGGGTGCAAGGTCTGGAGGAGGGCAGGGTTTTTGATGCCATGCCTGCTCTAAGGCCCTCCTTCCCACCCTTGGCCCTTGTAAAGTCCTTTCTACCCTACAGGGGCCAGCATCACAGTCCTGCCCTCTGTGTGATGTCATGGGGCTGTGTGACATCACGGCAGGTGGGGTGGGCCAGTCACTGGCTCCATACTCTCCTGGCCAGGAGCACTGGGAGGGAGGAGGTAGTCAGTTTCCTGTTGGATTCAAAAGGTGTCCGCTTGGAGTGCACCTGGGAGACGTGGGGCTGGGGGCTCAGCTGAGGGACATAATCAGCAGGTGAGACTCAGACCCAGGTCAGCCTGCCGCCGCAAGGCCCAGCCTGTGCCAACTTCTCTCCCAAGTCTCCTTGAACCCTCATCCGCCCTTCACCAGCTACAATGAGATATGCGTCAGAATTCAAAAGGTCCCCCTCGCATCCCCTGAAGAAATTTGCAGGTAACAAGAAAAGACCAGTATAGGTGTCTATTTCAACCCAAGGTATTGACAATTAGTCACCAGGCTGAGAAGGAAAGGCAAAGAAACTTGTTTTTTAAAATAATGTAGGAAAATACTGTGAAGTCCTCATTTTCTTAAAATTTCATTGCAAAAAACCCTGAACCTAAGGTTTTCAGCATAAGATATATATTTATTTCCCAGGGAGCTAAAGGTTAAAGATGTTTTCATATGACTTGCCAAACATACTTCAGCTACTTCATAATTTTTACGGCAAGAGAGATTTTTTTAATCCTCATCCAAGGACATGTTTATTGACTTTAGAGAGAGGGGAAGGGAGAGGGAGAGACGGGGAGGGAAACATCGCTGTGTGAGAGAAACACAAATCTGTTGCCTCACACGCATGCCCTGACTGGTGATGCAACCCACAACCTAGGCATGTGCCCTGACCTGGAATTGAACCTGTAACCTTTCAGTTTACAGGACAACTCTCCAATGCACTGAGCCACGCTGGCCAGGGCAAGAGTGATTTCTTTTTTTCTTTTTTTTTTTTTTAGGAAAAAATGTTTCTTAACAGCAAAGTTCACCTTTCCCCAGCCCCGCCCAGGGTGTGAAGTTGGACACTTGTACCTGGGTATTGAAGGAAACTTTATGTAAATGTGACTTTCTCCGAGGCACGTGGTTAGTGTGTAGATACAGTCTGATTGCAGTCACTTAGAACAATGTGGAGAAAAATCCCAGGAGAGTGAGACCACTGGGGAATCAGAAGGGGGAGGTGTCACTCCCACTGTGCAGATGTGTGTTTCTTGAATTTTTTTCTCAGCTGAGCTTTTCTTCATGTGTGACTAGAGTCATAAGGAAAGATAAAGAAATAGAAGGAAAAGAAATTTGGTTTTCTGTTTTTTGGCTTGGAACAAGGACTGACTAGGGAGGTTCCTGGGGTGACCAGGGATGGAGATGTGAGAGACTCTTCTGTGCGGCGACTTGAAAGAGATGCATTGAGACATCATCATGGGAGGTCCAGGCAAATAAAACAGTTGCTGGGGGCAGTGGGCAGAAGGAGGCCAGGGAGGCTCACAGGGGTCTCAGATATGATGGGGAGACTGAGCTTCCACAATGGTCGGGGTAGGGGACCAGCTGCTGTTCCAAAATATCCCATGTAAGGCAGCCAAAATGGAAAATACGTAACAAGATTTTCTCACCTGTGTGATGATGTTAAAGAGAACAATCGCTATGAACACAAATGTTTCTCTTACTGAATTTTTTCCTGCCCATGGTGTTTGCTGAAATAAACCTCCTCTGTCACCTAGAGCACGTCTCGGAACCCTCATCCTCTAGGCTATGGGGAGGTGTATGTGTATTTTCAGTGTTTCCACCCCATGGGGGCGGGGTGGAAATAGTGGGGGTGAGGGGCCTCCCGCTCTGCCCACCAGCTGTGTGGTCTTGGGTCTCCTGGGTCTTTTTGGATGAGGCTGAGGACCTGAACGCACAGGCGCCATGTTTGCTGCCACCATGACTGCCATCAGCAGCCCCATCTCAATTCTGTGGGAGCTATAGGCGGGCATGGGGTGCTCCCTGTGCTGTGTCCCTGAGACCGCCATCACCTCCCTGAGGGCCTTAGGTGGGGCTCCCTGCAGCCCGGACCACACCAGAAGCAAAACCCAGCACAGCTCCCACTCACTTAAACCGATGGGCACTCTGCAGAACAACTGAGAGATCAGTGACCACAGATGCCCCTGGGGAGGCCGGCGTACCACGGTCCCCCTGGGGCCAGCTCTGAGCCACTCCGGTCTGGCTGTGCCAAGGGCAGACCTCTCTGCCTGCCCCCACTCCCTCGCCCCTCCCGGGCAGCAAGCCAGGCTCTCGCCCCTAGGACCCAGCTTTAGGAGAGGGCGGCGGTGCAGAAGGTTAACAGCTGGGTCTCTCATCCTCTGACTCTGCGGGCGTGTCCAGCCGTGTGCTCCTGGGGCTGCAGTGCATTCAGAGGCCGCCACAGTTCCATCACCTCTCTGATGGGCATGGGCGGCCGTGGCAACAGTATTGGGCAAACCTGGAGTCGGGGGTCTTGGAAAGGGAGGGAAGGGCACAAGGGACAGCGGTTTCTCTGGAAACCCTTCGTGTGAAAGTCTAAATCAACTGTAGGAGAACGACTGGAGTTCACCAGGAAGTCCAAGACAGGGAGGGCTCCCCTCCTCCCCTTGCCCTTGTGGCAGAGAGAGCAGCAGGGCTGGGGCAGACATTGCTTGCTGCCAGCTGGGGGAATCACATGTCCCGAAGCTAACAGTGTTCTTAGATGTTAGGTAGCTGAGCTTTGCTGAAAATAGTCAACTTGTCCCCTACAGTGTATTGCACATTCATTATCTTTGTATTCTTTTTTGTCAAAACTGGCATTAAACTTTCTGTCCTTTTGATTCAACTTTTAAATTCTAAAGTAATCCTCAGCCCATATTGATAATTTTAATTCACCGTCTACTTACAAGTGAATTAATTACACATTATAACCTGAACTCCCAAATATCCATCGTATTAGATCTTTGTTTCTCATTTTCTTTGTAGAGCGCTGAGCCTTGCGAGCGCCCCACTGAGATGTAGTATCTCCTTCATCATCAGCGGACTCTGCATTATTCTGTGTAATTAACTTGACATTATTTTGTTCAGCAACCCAATTTATTCCAGATCTTAGTCTCAAAGTGAGGTCTGTATGATGCATAATTAAAAACATAACAAAACCCACAACGGAAGCCCCTAAGTGTCCTGTCCAAGTCCCATGATTTTTAGAATTACGAGCAGTGGCTGTTTTCTTGCTGATAACTGCCCTGTGTGTGCCTGTGCTCTCCAGTGTGTGACATTCCTCTCTACGAGATATGTGACTACAATGTCAGCAGAGATCGGTGTCAGAGACTTGGGTGCTGCTATCATAAAGGCATCTGCTATGAAAAATCAGTTCCCAGTAAGTACTGGGCCAGGCCCACCCATTGGGACAAAGGCCCAGAGGCCCAGGAGGGGCCTGCTTTCCTGTCCTGGGTCTCCCTTTCTGGACAGGCCCTTGTGTCATTCCCGGGTCACATCTCTCTGCAGTAGTGGGAGCAGAGGGCTTTGAAGGACTGAGACTAAGACTTGGGCCACCAGAGAAAGTCCACTCCCAGATGGGCAGACTTGCTATTGAAGAAGACCAATGGAGATCCCTCCTCCTTGGAAGACCTGCGTCATTCTGGGGGGTGTTGAGGACACAATACTGGGAAAGCACGTGGTCCAGGGTGGGGGCTGACTGCCAGCTGTGCAAAAGGTAAGACCTGACCAGGGCGGGAGCCAGAGTGCAGAGCTGGGCCCATGAGGGTGATGGAGGACCCCTGTGGTTCATCATTGTCAGAACAAAGACACAGACCTGACAGGCACTCTAGTCTGAGATGTGCTTGGGGAGGCAGGGCCAGCAGGCACTCCTGGAATGGGGAAGCTGTGGGACTGGTGGAGGGTCTGTCATCCTCCAAACAGGGCCTGCTTCCCATCAGTCCACCAGGGGAGGTGCATGGAGAGGAAGCAATCAGCGGGCAGGGGAAGGAAGTTGGTGCAGAGGAGGATATAAGCCATGATGCCTGGCCCTGAAGGGATGTCCTAAATATATCTTCTGGATATTTTCTCACACTTCAGAGCTTTGGCCTTCTGTGACTGTGGAATTTTCTAAATTAATATTTCCAAATGCTCAAAAATTCCACTTGATGGTCGATACGTTTTCCTGCTGTTTGTGACCCTTTCAGAAATGAGGGTGAGCAGGCTTCAGGGCTGTTTGGGAAGGTAGCAAACAAGTCCATGGACCAGGGTGGCCTACACAAGACCTCACCAAAGAGGAGGAAAGCGTCCCTGCAGATACGAAAAGCTGGCTGCTGGCTGGGGGCACTCACCAGCCCCGATGCTGTGGAAAGGTGTGTCCTGGGCCCTCCCTGTTCCAGGCTGCTCCCCTATCCTCACCACCCACAGTGGCTAATGGTGTGCTTGTGCTCTGTGGCTCAGGAGGATTTCCTCTTTCTTTCTCCTCTAAGTCCCAATTCCGCTGAGCCCCTCAGACACAAGATAGTGAGTCTGCCTTCTCATCCCTGGACTCAAAAAGCCCAGAAAGCGAGAGACATTAAGTGGCTGATGAGTGTTACCAGCTTCTGGCCCACGGGGCTGCCTAATCCCAAAGACACAAAACTCAAAGCCAGCTCTTTTAAGAAGTAAGTGATGCTCTGGGCAAAATGATTCAAGAAGCTAAAGTATTAGTAGGATCCTGGATCACCCAAAGGAAGGGCATCTGTCGTTTCATGGTGAAGATTTGGCCCTCAGGGCAAAAAAAAAAAAGGAAGTATGGCTTCTCAAAAAGTGGCAGATAAGAGGTCACAAGGAATGCTGTTTATAGCTGGGAGGATTTTCTGAGGGCAATTTCTCCTTTAGATCTTGAATTAGAAGTCTTGGCAGCACATCTCCTTACTCTTCCCATCTTCCACCCTCTGGAGACCCCAGCCTCCCTGGGATCCCACACCTTCCCCCGGACCTGCAGACAGAAACAATTGGAAGTTACTTCTTAGTTGGTTATAATTTTTATTGAGATCAAATTCTCATACCATGAAATACATCCTTCAAAAATGGCTTTTAGTATATTCACCAAGCTGTGCAACCATCATCACTATAAATTTTAGAACATTTTCATTATTCTAAAGAAATCTTGTACCCATTAAGCAGTCACCCCATTACTATCTCTCTCCAGCCCCTGACAAGAGCTGATCTGTCTCTATGGATTTACCTATTCTAGATATTTCATATAAATGGAATTATACAATATGTGGCCTTTTGTGTCTCATTTCTTTCATTTATATAATTTTTTCAAGGTTCATCCAGGTTGTAGCATGTGTCAGTACTTAATTCCTTTAAAAGATGGATAATATTCCTTCATATGGATATGCCACATTTTGTTTATCCATTTTTCAGTTGATGGAAATTTGGACTGTTTCTACTTTTTAGCTATTATGAATAATGCTACTATAAATATGATGTGTACACATTTTTATGAACATGTTTTCAATTCTCTTGGGTATTTACAGAAGTGAAATTACTGAATCATATATTAACTCTATTTTAAAATTTTTAAGGAACCGCTAAGCTATGTTCCAAAGTGGCTGCACCGTTTTACAGTGTGACCAGCAGTATATGGGGGTTTCACTTTCTCCCTATCCTCATTGACACTTGTGGTCTGTCTTTTTTTATTATACCCATCATAATGTGCATGAAGTTGTAGCCTGTGGTTTTGGCTTGTATTTCCCTAATTGGTAATGATATTGGGCAGCTTTGTATATGCTTATCGGCCATTTGTATATCTTCTCTGGAGAAAAATCTTTAAAAATCCCTAACCCAGTTTTTAATTGGGTCTTTCTTATGGAGTTGTAAAAACTCTTCATATATTCTGGATAGCAGACCCTTACCAGATATATAATTTGCAACTACTTTCTCCCAATCTATTGCTTGGCTTTTCATTTTCTTGATAGTGTCCTTGAAGCACAAAAGTTTTTAGTTTTGATAATGTTTGGTTTATCTATTTGTTGGTTGTTGTGCTTTCAGTGTTACATCTAAAAAACCATTGCCTAATTCAAGGACACAAAGATTTATAACTGTAATATCTTCTAAGAGCTTTTTAATTTTATCTTTTTACCTCATACATTTAGGTCTTTCATTCATTTTGAATTGGTTTTTGTATATGGTGTGAGACAGGGATCCATTTTCATTCTTTTGTATGCAACTATGCAGGTATACCAGCATCATCTGTTGAAAAGATGTTGTTGTTGTTGAACTGTCTTGGCACCCTCGTTGAAAATCAATTGCCCATAAATGTGAGAATTTCTTTATGGACTCTCAGTTCTATTCTATATATCAAGCTATCTTTAGTGAGTACCACATTGCTTTGATTACTGTAGTTTTGTCATGTGTGGAAATTGAGAAGTGTAAGTTCTTCAGTTCTGTTATTTTTTAAGATCGTTTTAGTTACTATGTGTCTTTTGCATCTCCGTATGGACTTAGCATCAGTTTTTCAATTTCTGCAAAAAAAAAAAAAAAATCCATTTGGTATTTTTGACAGGGATTGTGTTGAATCTATAAATAATTTGGGAGTTATTGCCTTCTTAATAATATTAAGTATTCTGCTCCATGACCAGGGGATGTATTTCCATTTATTTAGGTCTTCCTTAATTTCTTGCAGCACCATTTTGTAGTTTTCTTTTTATAAAGTTTGTATTTTTTAATTAAATGTATTTCTAAGTATTTTATTCTTTCTGATGTTATTGTAAATGGAATTGTCTTCTTAATTTTATTTTTAGATTGTATATAGAATCCTAGGTACATACCCAAGGAATTGAAAGGTTGCCAGTTTATAGAAATACAATTTTTTTTGTATTTACTTTGTATATTCTGTGACCTTCATTAGTGGACTACTTAGGATTTTCTACATACAAATCCTATCATCTGCATATAGAGAAAGTTTAACTTCTTCCTTTCTAATGTAGGTGGTTTTATTTCATTTTCTTGCCTAGTTGCCCTGGCTAGGACCTCCAGTACAATGGTGAATAGATGCAGTGAAAATGGACATTCTCATATTATTCCTGATTTGAGGGGGAAGTATTCAAGTGTTTCACCTTTACATACGATGGTAGTTATGGGTTTTGCTAGATGTCATTTATCAGGTTGAAAGAGTTCCGTTCTCTTCCTAGTTCTCAAGTGTTTTTTATCAAGAAAGAATGTTGGATTTTATCAAATTATTATTCATGTGAATTTGTTTTTGTCAAGTGTCTTTTCCTTTTATCCTGAAGGACTCCCTTTAGTATTTCTTGTAAGGCATTTTTGCTGATATCACCCTGAAAAGTAATTCTGAGCTTTAATGAAGCTCTAGCTCAGTTGTACATAACTGGGTACACAACTGAGCTACAAGACATCGTCCTTTTCTCCTTAAAGGAGTTCATTATCTTTCACCTATCTCATCGTAAAACCCCAACCTTAGCCAGAATTTTATTTGAGAGATCTTTTGGAGCTCCAGGTCTTCCAATGTTAAATGGCCTATTATTGACACATTCTAACAGTTTCTCCTCTAGAGTATGTGACAGGTACTCCAGAGCTGAGTTCATGGCACTAGGTGGTGCTTTGGCCATAACTTGCTGCTTTTGGAACTTAGCATCTTTTTATTTCTGTTTTGTGGTATTGGTAGTTTGACACATGCATCTATGTGGAGAGCAGCAGATGGTTACAATCCAGCTCACTTCATTTCCATTCTAGGGCTTGCTTCTTAGAGAACTCCAGTATCCTAGGCACTTATGCAGCTTATTTTTTCTGAGACTTTTACTACTGGAGCTTCTAAAAAAGCAGGAAACATTTACACCCAAAGGGTATTTGTGTTTGTTCTTTCAATCTCCTACATATTAAAGATGTAGAAGACATTCAATTTCCAGGTAAGTGATAGAACTGGGTTGTAGTCTTTGGCCATTAATTATCTCAGTTTTCTCATATCCCAGTGAAACAGAGACTCAACAGCATGAAGTGGTGAAACATCATTCAAGGAAGGTTGCAGCTGGCAGGGGATGCAAATCCAAGCTGCGGCTCCTTTTCTCCCCCAGCCGTCCCTTCCTCTGAGCATCTTCTCATCAGAATTTTCTGTAGGATTTGGCCATTCGTAAATGTTAGTATGTATAACACACATTGTTTAAATTAGTATAATCATCTTATGGCTGTCATTTATTTGAAAAATGAGACATTCCTTACAGCACATTAATTATTAATGTCTTTAAGGACCACTTTCCTTCCACTAAAACCCCCACAGACTCTCAAAAATTTTTTCCTCCTTGTAGAGAGCCCACTGTTCTGTAAGTAGGTATGTCATTTTTGCACAGAACAAGTATTAATCCTCTTTCCAGCCTTTCAATTTTAACACATGAGTTGTGTGGGTTAGGCTTTTTCTTACCTTCTGACTCCTTTCGAGTGTGAGGGTTGGGCCATCTGTGAGAAGAGTCTGGGCAGTGAGCCCTACATTTGGTTCTCACTGTGCCCTCAAATTATTTCTCATTTCTTTGACATCTTACTTATTCAAGACAGTGAATGAACCTTTGTGCTGTGTAAGTTGTAGTATTCAGTGACAGGGTATTATGAGTTCTTCGTGCACATAATTCCATGTTATGAAAACCTTTCACCAACTTCTTAAATTGGCTGGTTTGAAGTTCACATTGTGTTGTGGCATAATCTGTATTATTAAGGATATGAACTTGGGGAATTAGCATTAGATCTTTGAGAAAGAATCAAGAGATTCAAAGACAGTGACTTGCATTCATTCTTCAGTCTTGACTTAGGGTTGATTATGTAACATGTCATTTGTTCTAAGTGTTTGATTTCAGTTTCTTCATGAGACTTGCTGAGATGTTTCAAAACTTTTGTTTAAGTATATTTGCGGGGGGAATTTCCCAAGATATTACTTGAAGAAAATAATGCTTTCTTCAGTTGCTGCTATTTCTGAATTTATTAAAAACCATACATATTGTTTATAACAAGTAGTATGCTGGCCAGACACTGTACAGATAGAATCAGAGAGGTTTAGTGTTTGCCTCCAGGAGCTTGATATCAAGGACCAAAAATGCTTGTACATACAAAGAAATAGAAGATATGCTTATAATTAAATACTAAAATGTCATCTAAATATGTGTCTCTCTCTAACAGGATTTCACTCACATATTAATCCTGAGTTTATTTCATGAACCAAGACACAAGATCATATTAAGGAACACACATTCCCGGGAATTCAAGAATTTGAGGTTTACCTTCTTGTACCTTAAAACCTTCTAATTTCCCTCTTTCAAATGAAGTGAACTGTGTTCATTTCAATTCATTTCATTCAACATTGTTTAAAATGCACTTTCTCTGTGCCCTTGGCTATATCCCTAGGTGAAAGCTCAGGGGGGTGGGCTGTGCCCAGTCCTCCTTCCCACTCTTTCCCTGGGAGTGGAGAAGGGCCGCGAGTCTATACCGGCTGACACCACCATGCACAGGAACTGGGAATAGAGGCTGCCCCCTAGGAGTCACTTCGATGGCTCTGGTTCTTCTGTTGGGGGTGGATTCTTCTCTTGAGGATGGGTTTAGTGAGCAGTTGAGCACAGCGGAAGCCCCTTGTTAATACAGAAAAACTCAGTCAATAAAATTTGAAATCAGACTTATGGAATTTATCATCCAAAAAGCATTTATTTTCCTTATATTCAGTTTGGGGATAACTGATCTGCATACTAAGGAACCATTTTCATGGAGTTGAGGGCAGTGCAAGGTGCCCAGATCATGGGAGGCCAATGTTGCCGTTTCCTGGAGAACAGATGAGGGAGCCATCTCTGCAGTGCTCCCCTCAGTGGATGGTCCTCGGTGTCACCTGGGTAGCCACCAGCCACCACCTTGAGTACCTTTCATGTGGAGCCTTCATTTGCTGTGGGTGACCTGGATCCCACAGAGGAGTCTCAGGGGGGAAGCAGGTGTGGGGAGAGGCAGCGCTCAGGGATGACTGGCAGAGAAGGGCAGCAGGGTGGGGGGCCATGGCCCGCCTGGGGGTGGGGGGTGGAGGCTGCCTTTTTGTCATTAACCCAAATCATGATAAACGGACATTATTTTCCAGCTTATGTGAAAGTGTTTTTTGCCTTGATTGTGATCATCGCCATGGCCTTTATTTTCACCATTATTTACAGGTTAGTCATTTTATTCTTTCAAATTCCTACGCAGAACTTGGATGGGAGAGGAGTGGGTACTGGGGCAACTCCCCTCCTCCCCCCAGTGCTGTTGGGGCCCCTAGGACAGCCTGCCAGGGCCGTGAGCCAGCTGGCCTGAGAATCCAGGGTTTTTTTCCAGAACTTGATAATAATACCAGCCAGTATTTAATGAGCACCTAACACTTCACTCCACAGCCCTCCTCCAAACAGCAGTGGGGGTTTCAACCTGGCTGTGTCTGCAGGGCCCTGGCTGGATGACATGCCCAATCCAGGCTGATCACGTCCCTTCATCCTGCAATGGAGACGTGTAGTAGACGTATTCTGACTCCTCCTCTTCTTGTTGCAATGGTGAAGACACGCCCACCCAGCAAGGCCGCAGAGGCTGGTGGCTGCCCACAGGCAGGCCTGGAATTCAGCTTTCTGACTCGGGGGTCTCCTACCACTAGTCTCTTGCTGTGACGTGAATAAAAGCCACTGAGATTAGATGAGTCACTTTGTCCAGCAACAAGGAAAACTATTTTCGTGCTCTGACAGGTGCTAGGCGGCATCTTGAGTGACTGACCTGGCTGTAGCCTGCACACAATATGCACCTTCCCCACTCCTGTTTTTGTCCTTGCAAGTCTCAATGCCACATACAGACCGTCTGTTCAGGGCTTGTACAAGCAACTGAAATGGGAAGTAGTAAGGCAAAGCATTTACCATGGCAAATTTTCTACAAGTGTGAACACGAACCCTGTATTTTTAGGAGGGACATCCTGGAGGAGGACTGGATGGCCCATAGTTTTCCATCTTCGACTTCTCTGATTGTGATAAAAACTCTCTTCCCTTCAGAGTTGTTCAAGAGAGGAGAGAAGAGGAAGTCTATACAAAATTACCTCTGTCATGCAAGCCCAGTGGTAAAGCTAAGGGAGACCCCCTTCGGGAAGCAGGCGGCATTGTAGGCTCAGACTGGCAAAGCACAGAAGAGTGATGAACCCGAAGGGAAGGATGGTAAGTGGTAAGACATGTGGATTGTCCCGGACTCAGGGCAAAGGGCACAGATTTATCCATTCAAAAGATCTCATCTGTGAATGGCACTCAGCAGCTACATGAGTCCTTCAACAAGAGTTGCACTTATTTATTAGTTTGGACTACTTATAATCTATCCTTTCCCAACTAGGAGGGTCTAGTTTATAAGGTAGAATCTGCACTCAGCTTGGGTTTCCTGCACTAAAGGCACATTTTGTCCTGGCTGGGTTGCTTGGTCAGTTGGAGCGTCATCCTGAGCAACAAAAGGCTGCAGTTTCCATCCCCAGTCAAGGCCCATGTGGGAGGGAACCAATCAATGTTTCTCTCTCACATCAATGTTTCTCTCTCTCTCTCTCATCAATAAACATATCATCAGGCGAGGATTAAAAATAAATAAATAACATAAAATAAAGGCACATTTCCTTCCATAGATATTGTTTTCTACATTTTCTTCCCCCTCTCTTTGCCTCTTTGTCATCCCAGCCTCCCTAGTTGGGCCAGCTGTGTGGCTGGGCCATGGGTCAGGGGTAGCAGTGGTGTTGGCATGTATCTGTGACCCCGGAAAATTTAGGGAAGGTGCTTCCTGGCACCTTCCAGTTAGCACCTGGAAGCAATTGTAGTGCCTGATTAGCACCACTTCCTGTTGTGGCTTCATGACGGCTTCGTGGTTGTGGTTGAAGAGATGTGAACAACAGCTAGGTCTTTGAACACCTCTGGCTTTTGGGAAACAAAGTTTCTTGCATGTTATGAACTCTTAGGAGGCTTTGGCAATTGCCTGATGCTTTTCGCAGGTCAGCAACTTGCCAGGTAGAGAAGAAAACATCCCAAATGATCAGCTTAGTCTAAGGTGATGTTTGTATGGGAACTTTATCAAGGTATCTTATTATCCATTAGTCACAACGACTTGGTTTTACTGGAGCAAATGGGAAAAGGACGAGGCAGGGAGAAGCGGCCTGTGCAAATGTCCTTTAGGATCTGGATGCTCTCCCCTAACTGAGGTTGTGTCTGTGCAAGGATACTTTCCCACAGGGCCTGATGCTGCCTTCTCAGGGTGCTTCCCTAAAGTGGGGTCACAAGGGGGTGCCTGTTTATCCCCTCAGTAAGTTCGGTCTCCCCCAGGAATGTGTGGGGAGACGGGCAGGACAAACCCACCTACCAAACATAATTGAGCAAGTCATGGCCAGTTGTAGGCCATATAGACGTATTCACAGATCTTGAAGAAATTTCCTTGGCATTGCTGAACATGCCATTTAAAAAAAAAACACTTATTTTTGCTTTAAATTCAGCAACGGTGACAATAATGAATGATGAAGAAACTGAAGATTGAAATGCATGATGAGGAAAATGTGGAGCATGGCAGAAATAGCCAAATGAAATGGTGGAGCTGGTCAACCACTGTTAAAGTGTGTGATGGAACGAGTACCAAATTAGGAAAAAGAAAAATAAAGGTATTTTAACTGCTTTTGTTTCATGTTGCCTTTGTCAATGCTGTATTTTTATCTCAGGAGAGAGAAAGACTTTGGAGTGTGAGAACATTACTGGAAGCTTTGATTTTTTTCAATGGCGCTGTTTGTTACTGATACCAAAATCAAGTCAGCTTATAGCAGTGACACAAGGTGATGTTACCAAGGCCCCCTTTTTCAGAAGGCAGGCTACACTTTCACAGGGTACAATTGTCAGTCAGACTTGCAGGAAATTCAGGAATTGCCCAGCAGTAAGTTGAGCTAGGGAGAGGAGCAGCGTCAGTTCCTGAGAGGCCTAGAACCATCCTCTGCAGTTTCTTCCTCAAAGCCCCTCATCCAGGGCAGAATGCACATGTGTTCCAGAAAGACTGGCAATGCCAGCCGTGGGCGATGCAAGCTGTCCCAGGGAGAACCTGTTTTTAACCCTGGAAGCTTGCATTCTGCAGAGCAGCTATGACTCATATATTCATACATTGTAGGTATTTTTTATATATATATATATTTTTTTTTCCCCCTAGCTGGTAAATTCAATGCATGTGACCAATGGTGGTTTGGTCAAAGCCTTACTGCCTTAGTCATTGGCCCTAATATTTGCCTAAATCAGGTGTCAATATACTTTTTGTAAAGGACCAGGCAACAACTATTTTAGGCTTTGTGGGCCATAAGTTCTGACAACTCTTTGACGCTGCTTGTAGCCAAAGACAATGGAAAGTCATGGATGTGGCCAGGTCCCAGTAAATCTTTATATAAAAGTAGGTGATGGGCTGGGTTTGGCCTGCAAGCCATGGCTTGACAACTCTATATTTTTGCCCATCTTTTTCTAGGGATTCCACAATTAGCCAATTCTGTGATCCCTCTAATGGTCAATTTATTCCTATAGCTTATTGTAATTGTGCCCAACCTTCTCTGCTAGCTGCCAATAGACTTTTCCATGCTGAGATCCCATTATTCCAAAAAGATCAGGAATTACATTATTAATTCATCTACCTCCTGCCCAGGGCAGCCCTCGAAGAGCTTTTTTGGGATGCACTTTTTATGCCAGTGTGAATGGCATGTGCCCTTGGTTCTCTTCTTGAGGTATGATTGAACAAGTGGCTTATAAAATATCCATCAGCATCCCCATCTTTGCTCACCTTCCTCTACGTGAGTGGTTTTCAATCCTGAGCAACTTTGCTCCCTAATGGACATTTGGAAATGTCTGGAGATATTTTTGCTTGTCAAAACTGGGGGAAGGCACTGCTGGCATCTAGTAGGTGCGAAACATCCTACAGTGTACAGGACAGCCCCACAACAGAGAATTATCCAGCTGTTTATGCGTTGTATTCGTGGTATGACAGGTGATTAGTTAACAAAAGCAGCATTTTTATAAAGAGTAGTAACACTTTTAAAATGCCAAAGTATGTAAATATATGTTTTAAACATTTAAATCAGTTACAATTTCTAGCTAGACACAGAGAAGGAGAAGGAAAAAAAAAAAAAAAAAAGAAATTCTGAACTGCCCATAATTGAGAAAGGGATAGGAGTAGGGTTTAGGGTTGTACATCCATCAGGTAAATGGTAGCCTCGAAGCATCATTTCTAACACCATTTCTGGTCAGGCCTATGGTTCAGCTCTCCTCTTCAATGGAGGAACTGTAAGCAAAAGGCCTTGAGGGAGCTGTTTTCACTGGAGAGGGGCTGGGCTGATTCCTGGGAGGGCAATTCTGGGAGGATGGTTAGCCATGGGTCTGGTGGTGTTTGGGACCATCTGGAAAGACGAGAATGACGTCTGCTTCCAGTTCCCAGGCACACGGCCCAGTGGCTTGGCTCAATACAACCCACTGCTGTGTTGTCTAAGTCTTTTACTTTATTCACATATGTTTCCTATTTGAAACAAATATTTGATCCTTATATCATGTTTCATATTATCATGCACTGAGGAGCAGTGATAATGCTTAGTTCAGAATGATTAAAGATTCTGGAGGGAGAACTATTGTAATCCAGATGTAACACTTTAAATATAATTTATTACTTTTGTATACAGGTCCAAAAATTCTCATAAGTACCAAAAGCTAATTAATACTACATAGTATTTTGCCATGGTAATGTAGGCTGGATACAGCTTCTGTCTGTATTTCTACAATAGTTGGGGAATATACCATGTCACCCACTGGGTATATACCAAATTGCTCCCCAACTCTCACTCCTTCTGAAATACATTAGCATATATAATTAATACTCTCAGAGATTTCCCCAAAGGATTTTAGCTTTTTATTTCAACTACTTCTCTTCTATCCAGTATTTTACAATGAGCAATAATGATGAGCAAAATTGACTTCCACCCCAGTAGGCTATAACTAGGTGCACCTATTGGGTGGGGGGCAGTGGTTGGAGAAGGCCAAGTGGGGAATCAGGACTTTCCTCCTTTTGGGAGGTCATGAGACCCCCCCTCCACCCCCCATAGTGTCAGTGGAAACCACATGGAGAGTCCTATTTCTAGCCCATTTGGCTGGACTTTAACTACGACCCAGTGCTCCCCACTGCATGTGCGCGTGTGTGCGCGCACACACACACACACACAGTCAATGGAGGCCACATAAGGCACAGTGAAAAGGCACCTCTGTCCATCCCAGAGAGTGTTGGAAGGGAATATATTTTCTATTTCTTTGACAAACCATGAACCATGCATTCAGTTTGGTGGAAGATCAACAGAGATTGAGAGGGGAAGCTAGACTTCTACTCCAGGCCAGCAGCAACAAGTCTGCAAGACCTCCTATGTCATGGCATCATGGAATTTGAGAGAGAAAGCTGGATTTTACTCCCATCTGGAAATGACAAGGTGATGCCCCTCAACTCCCACCAGCACAGCATCAGAAGAAGGTGCTAAAACACATGACTTAAATAAAATCCAGAGAATCTTAACATAAGAGCCAAGATGTCCAAGATTCAATTGAAAATTACTCATCATATGAAGAAGCAGAAGAATCTTCCCATCAGTGAGAAAAGACAATGGATGCCAACATGGGCATGATACAGATGCTGGGACTACCTGTCAAGAGTTTTAAAACAGCCATCATGCAAAATGCTTTAATGAGGAATTATAAACATGCTCAAAACACATGAAAAATAGAAAATTTCAGCAAAAAATGAGAAGATATAAAGAAGAGTTAGAACTGAAAAATATAATAACCAACATAAAAAATTCAGTGGATGGGATAAACATCTGAATGGAAAGGACAGAGAAAAAGAATCAGTGAATATGAGGATAGAAATGATCCGATATGAACAAGAGTGAGAACATAGAATGAAAAATAGAATCTCAGTAATCTGTCAGATAAAACAAAAAGATCTAATATCCATGTCATCAATGTCCCAGAAGAAGAGGGAAAAGAGATTGGGACTAAAAAAGTATTTGAAGAAATAATGCCTCAAAAATTTTTAAGTTTAGCAGGAGCTATAAACCTATAGATTCAAGAAGCTGAATGAACCCCATATTTCTGAAAACTAAAGATAAAAGAACCTTGAAAGCAGTGAGAGAGAAATGCCACTTTACCTGTGGAGGAAAGATGATTCTAATGAGAAGAGACTGCTCATCAGAAAACATGGAGGTCATCAGAAAGGGACGCAGCACTTTCCAAGTGCTGAAAGAAAAGGAACCATCAACACAGAGTTTTATATCCAGTGAAAATATCTTTCAGGAGTGAAAGGACAATGAAGGCATTCTTAGAGGAAGAAATATGGAGAGAATTGTCTGTAGCAGAACTACCCTAAAAGAATGGATAAGGAAGTTCTATAAATAGAAAGGAAGTTGTAAAAGAAGGAATTTTGGAACATCAGAGAGAAAGAAAGAGCAATGGGAAAAATAGATTTTTCTTCTCCTCTTGAGTTTTCTCATTTATGTTTGATAGTTGAAGTAAAAATTATAACACTGTTATAATGTTGTTTTCAGTGTATGTAAAGGGAATAACTAAAATCAGCAATGGATGAGGACAAAGTGATAAAAAAGGAAGTACTACTACTTTTTGTGACAGCATGGATGGAACTAGAGAGTATTATGCTAAGTGAAATAAGCCAGGTGGTGAAAGACAAATACCATATGATCTCACCTATAAGTGGAACTTAATCAACAAAACAAACAAGTGAGCAAAACAGAACCAGACATGGAAATAAAGAACAAACTGGCAGTGACCAGAGGGAAGGAGAGAGGGGGATAATGGGAGAAAGAAGGAGAAGGGTCAAGTCAAGGAACATGCATTAAAGACCCTTGGACAAGGGCAATGGTGGGGAAGGATTGAATGTGGTGGAGGGGGAGGTGGACAGGGCAGGGGAGAGCAATAGAAAATAGGGACAACTGCAAGTGAACAACAATAAAAAATTTTTAAAAAGGGAAGTACAGTTTCTATTCTTCAGTTAGACTGCTGGTATATCCACTCTGGAAAATAGTTTGGCAGTTTCTTAAAAATTGAAACACACATGTACCACACAATTTGCAAGTGTGCTCCTGTGAAATGAAAACTTAGTGTAATGTTTATACAAAAAAAACTGTACACAAATGTTCATGGCAGCTTTATCTGTAATAGCCCCAAATTAGAAACATGGCCCTATAATAAGTGAAAGATTAAAAAAAAACTGTGGTATATATCCATACCGGGGAATATTACTCAGCAATAATAAGGGGGCAAGGGAAAGTGGTGGGGGGTAGGCAGAGACAAATGTATTTGAAAAAATAAATAAAAAAAAGAAAAATGAATGCTTTATGCAATTATTTGGATGGATTTCAAAGGCATTGAGTGAGAAACCAACCTCAAAAAGTCTCATACTGTATGATCTCATTCAGATGATAACATTGTTGAAATGACAAAATTGCAGAGATGGTTGCCATGGTT